GGATATGGGCGGCTACAGTGGGTATTGTAAGGCTGCAGGGGTGTGTGTGTGGTTATTGGGTGTATACTGTGGACACGTGCACTCCTCGCCCTGGGCTTGAGGGCGTCCGTGTGTGTGGTGAAGGTCTGGTCGGCACGGTTTGTGAACGAGTGACGTTTGGTGGGTGGGCTGAGATCGATATCCGGGTGTCCGCTCCAAGAGTCACGGTCGTTGTTACTGCTGCAGGAGGGAGACGCCCGCGGCAACAATTCCATACCCAGCGCCAGCCAGAGCTAGCGGCGGGGGTGACTGGGCAGACTGCCAGCGATCAATAGGTCCTATATCTTTCCCTCCACGATGAATGGTGTTGCCCCGCGTTCAATTATATTTTGAGGTCATTAACAACTATTGCTGGCAGCACTCCTGACGGCGAGCAAATAAACAACAGGAAAACTGCGGTGGCGGATGCGGTCTTAGGGTGTAGCGTCATCGACACGTCACAGCGATGACGTCAAGGGTGACGAAGTAGTGACATCACCAACGCTTTTGCCTCGGCAGCAATACCAAGGGAAGGAAGGGTGACGCAGGCACACTTGGTTACTGTGTGTGTGTCCAGCTTGATCATGGTTCTTGGAGTTGGGACAACTACGTCATGACTCATTAGGATGGAGCACAGATCTGGGGAAAACTTCAATATGATCACCATTTTAATTGGTTGATACCTTAATGTTTTGTTATACACCTGGCATCTTGAGTCACTAAACAACACAACTCATTTAATTTAATAGTAAAATATTATATTATTTTATATTTGTTGGTAAAATTAAGATTACTCCTCAACCCTTGTGTCTCTGGCCGGCAGCCAAAATGTTTGTCACGCCCCGGACTGGTCTGGAGCACTGAGGCAACTCTCAGTCTTCTTGCTCACAACTTTGTGATTAAAACATTTGTCTGAAAAAAGAAAAGAAACCAGTTTTCCCTCAAGCTCTTTTCAGCGCCTCTGAGACTAATTTTGGGCCTTTTTCAGAGTTGTCTTGTCTCTCTAATCAAAAGTCGGCTTAAATTTTTTTTGTTGAGGTTCATTTTAGTTTAATCTGATTATAATGAACCAATCCCGTGCAGCTAATTGACGCCCCTGGGAAACTTTTGTGTGGAGGCCGTGATGGGAGGAGGTGGTGGGTGGGTGGTGATAGCCCACTTCACTGGTGTAGTCGCTCATTTTAGATGTTGTCTCCTTAATTGCAACAGGACGCGGCCACCATGTATGTGTTGTATTACTTTTCTTGGTGTAAGAATATTTATACACGAAGGCAGACTCGTTTAACTGTGTCTTAAAGCATAAAATAATGCTTTCTTAGACTACAGTAATTGTTATTTATTTATTGATGTCGAGAGGTGGTAAAAAATATATGCATTTGTTTGAATTAATGTTAATACCATATATGTATCAGAAAACTTAGGTGACATAACGTATTAATGATTCGGGTACAGTCTATCCGTTAGGGAGAAGGGTTTTCGGTTACTGGCCCTCAGACACGACCTATCTGGCGGTTTAACTGACCTCACTTAATTTGCTTAGTACGGACTGTATATGTTAGCAAAGACATGAGGTATTTGCAAAGCGTGAATCTTATTTTTAAGGTTCAAGGAAGTAAGTGACTGCTTGCAATATATATATAGAAAGACATCAGGAAGTTCGATGTCAATGACTGGCTGTGTCGTAGTATAGTGTGTGGTAACTATGCGGTCATCTGTCTATCCAAGTCATGTGTGGTGGCGATAATTGTACGAGTCATAAGTTTTTGATTGGTGTGTGATGTGTAAGTTCCCAGTGAGTAGATGTGGGTACATAGGAGACTGGTAGATGATGTGTTTCCCCATGTGTGTTGGTGTGAGTCACTTGGTTGGCTGGCGACGAGGCGAGGCGCGGTGTGTGGGCGGTATACCAAACGGCGCGATGACGGTGGTAGTCTTTCCTCTCTCTACCCTCCCCCACCCCTTTTTCGTGGCTCCCTTTCCTCCCTATGCTCCCTTCGAGTCCCATTCCTCCCTGAACTCCCTTTCTACGAGCCCCTTTCCTTATACTTCCTTCTCTCAGCTTCCTTCCTTGACTCCCTTCGAGCCAGCCCCTTCCCCCTCCCACCTACCTACAACCCCCCTTCTCTCCCTATACTCCCTTCTATAAGACCCTCTACATTCTTCCTCTATGGTAAGTGTTGACAGTATGCATACATTAAAGTCTACCTACACCCTGACTGCGTCGAGGGAACCAGGGCCTAATGTTCCTGTCACCGGCTGTGTTGGCTTAGCTGTTTCTCGGTGTCGTGTGAATGTAAATTTGTCTTTGGAGGGGGGGGGGATATTCCTAGACGTCACGAGAAATAATGGTGGGGGTGAGGCCATGTCTCGTGAGAAATTATATTGTTACACTAATAAGAAAAATAAATTCTTCTTTCATTGTTAACATGATCTTTGTGTATTTGTTTTAATTTATGATATTAGTCTTGTATCTTTTAATAAGGCTTCATTAACTAATAGAGGACTACAAAAGGTGTTATTCTCTACGGCAGGAATTATTATGCCCCCGCCAACCTGTCTTGACTTCACCTTTCTCTTCGTCTGTTATGTATTTTTTTAATCTTCTTCATCTCGGCCAAGTTACCGCTTATGAAGGTGTGTCGAAAGTTGTATTTTGAACTCCTTAATGTTTTGTAAATATGTGAAGAGTGTCAAAGTGGGGTAGCTATGTCGCTTCTATGTAATTAATCATTTTCGTCTAAGTAAAATTAAGTGGTTGAGTAAACTGTATCATTATTAGAGGCTTAACAATGTGTATAAAATAGTAATCTAAACTATTTTGTGGTGGAAACTAATGATGATGCTTCACACCTGATTAATCCCCAGTAGCAGACTATTAAGCTAGTTACTATTGAAATATTTCTTAGTATAAAATTTTTAGGCATGTTTTATCCCTTGATTTTCGTTCTGGCGAGAAAGTCAACAAACAGTCATGGTCTGTCTCCCTCCCACCCGTCCACCAACTCGCCCCGTGTGGACTCTGTGGTCAGGAACGATCAGGCGGTTTAATAGGAAAATTATCACGTATCAAAGGAGCTTATGATAAGATTGAGTACAGAAGACCTGATCAGTGTATTTTTTTATTTTTTCATTTATACTTTAAATTTCCACGTGTGAATGTTTGTCGTAAGTAAACAAGTATAGCGTGAGGTCATCAATAGAGCGTGTCACTCAAGGTAATTACTGAGTACTGGCACTTAAGTTGTAGGGAAGGTCTCAGGTTAAGTACGGACTCGCTTAAGATGAGTTCAGACGCTAACTATTGATACAGACTCTTAAATACAACATGGGCTCTTGTGTACAATTGCCTGAATAAACTGGTGATCGTTTTCTTGTACACACGGACGTACACATAACATAAATACTTGTTATGAACGGAGAGATGACACGTACATGGGGGGGGGGTGCTGTATTTACGTATTGTAGGTGTTTCTTCGTTGGGGGGGCTAGATATGCAGGAGTTTATAGTACGTTTAGTAAGGTGATTGAAGGTGAGTTGGAGTGTGATTACGCCAGAGAGTCACGATGAAAAGGAGAGGAGGGTTGGTTGGTAATTGGGGGTGTACTGTGTGTGTTGCCAACTTTTAACACCCCGAGAAGCTGGTGGTGCTATTGTTGCTGATCTTGCATGGTAACACCGCCCTGACATGTTGCTACACACACACACACACTGTATACTTCTCTAAAATGTCATAACTGTTTAGCTATCTATTGTTATTTACGTATTATCTTGTCCCTTTCTCAACCAAAAACCAGGAAAAGTTTAACTGCAGGAAAATACAACCTCGGATATTTTGTTGTCAAGCAAATGAAGAGAGTGTGTGTGTGTGTGTGTGTGTGTGTGTGTGTGTGTGTGTTCCTCGCTAAACCATCATCTCACGCAACCATTTGTCTTAATTCTTTTGTCCGTCACCACATCGGTTGTATAAAATTGCCAGTGGTCAGCCCATTGTTGTGTTCTACGCGCATAATTTTCTGCAAGATTTGACTTTCTACAAATACCAGCGCTTTATGGCACGATGTTATTCTTACTGTTTTATTTATTATTATTTTAGATTATTATTCGTTTTCTTTTATGTATCATCAAGTTTTGTCTTTGTTAGGGGTTTGTTATTCACGTCTTTTGTTGTGTGAAGTTATGTAATGCTGAGTCTCTTTTGTTTGTTGTTGTTGATAGTGTATTTGTTTCTATTGAATGTTGATAAATATCTCTATGCATTTGTTGTTGCTAGCGAGTGTTGCAAATATTTCCCGGAACTTTTGGCTGTTTATGATGCAGTAAACGTGTGTGTGTGTGTGTGTGTGTGTGTGTGTGTGTGTGTAATTAGTCTCCATGTAAATCCTGCAAGTTGTAAGTAGATGGATTTATATTTTTTATTAAGAATTACGTATCTTACAGGACGCCATGACAGTAGAAAGGTGTTGGTATGTCTTGTGGCTTGTATGTCTCGTGGCTTGTATGTCTGTGGCTTGTATGGCGTGGCTTCGTATTTGTATGTCTCGTGGCTTGTATGTCTCTGTGGCTTGTATGGCTCTGTGGCTTGTATGGCTCGTGGCTTGTATGGCTCGTGGCTTGTATGGCTCTGTGGCTTGTATGGCTCGTGGCTTGTATGTCTCGTGGCTTGTATGGCTCTCGTGGCTTGTGGCTTGTATGTCTCGTGGCTTGTATGGCTCGTGGCTTGTATGTCTCGTGGCTTGTATGTCTCGTGGCCTGTATGTCTCGTGGCCTGTATGTCTCGTGGCCTGTATGTCTTATGGCTTGTAAGTAAAAGCCAACCACATACTTTAACACAGTTGGCTCCTTCAAGACGTCTCATCCAGGACACATTACTAAGATGGCTGCGCTTTTCGGCAACTGTGGGGTGAGTTAAGGTGGTTTTTCAATGAAGCTTCCGAGACATTTTGTGTGTGGGAGGAGGGGAGGTTAATGTATGTTCCTCAAGATGGCGGTGTTGTTCCTCAAGATGGCGGCGTTGTTCCTCAAGATACGTGTGGGGTGGGTCTGGGTACATACTCGAGATGGCGGTGTTCCTCAAGATATGTGTGTGGTGGGTCTGGGTACATACTCGAGATGGCGGTGTTCCTCAAGATGGCGACGTTCCTCAAGATATATGTGGGGTAGATCTGGGTACATACTCAAGATGGCGGTGTTGGATCGGGCTCTGGACGCCACAAGAACCATCCAAGGGCCCGGTTAAGTGTGTTGTTTGAGATCACTAACTTGTGGGCTTTGTAACTCAGTCGCGTGTGAAGACCCTTTCATTTTTTTTTCCTGATTGAAAGTTTGCGATTCGTATATGTTGGTAGTTCAGTTTTGTTTATACATACATACATACATACATACATACATACACAACACCGTCACACACATACACATAGATACTCGTATACATAGTAATGCACACTTTCTCTCTCACGCACACACGCAAGAGAAGAAGATTGCGTTTGTCAAGTCATTCCTGCTCCACATCACACTGGTATGTCTTAATGTCCAGCCATAGACCCGGCCGGTAAGGAGCGTTCCACTGTACACTTGTGGTGTTCCGCTTTACACTCGGGTGGTCAGGAAGAGAGCATCAGATTGCGACGTAGATGTTCCGTCCTGTACTCTGGTGATGATGATGAGGCACTCTAGAAAAATATATAGTCGAGGGTGTTTCATCATGCACTCGGTTCTGTCGTGCACTCAATTTGGCGTTCGTCTTTCCCCCAACAAACTATTCTGTCGTGCACTCAATATGGCGCTCATCTCCGACTCCACAGTCAATGTATTCTACCGTGCACTCAAAATGTTGTTCACATCTGACCCATAATTCACTCGGGGTGTTCAACTTAATCCTAATGCACTCTTTAAAAAAAATGTTCAAAGAGCGTCGTTCCATCATGCATTCACTCACCCAGAGGCTCCTTGATCTAGTAGTCCTTCAAGAATCGGGGTTTGATAATGCTATACCGTCTTATAAGGGTGAGAGTCCTATTGGCCCATGGTAGGACCCTCGCCCCTAGGTGGTCAGGCCGCGTCGGGGGGAGGGGGATAATGCCTTTTATCCCTCTCCTTGTGGGTCATTTTGTTGGGCACTTGGTCCACCATTTACCCTGAGTCGACGGTCAAATTGAATGTTCCTCCCTCCTGCCGGCTGGACTTGGCCCTTGCTGCGGGTGTCAAGTCCTCAGAGGGGGTGTCAAGTCCTCGGTGGGGTGTGTCAAGTCCTCAGAGGGGGTGCCAAGTCCTCACAGGGGGTGGTTTTTCAGTGGGTATTTTGGGGAGGGGGGGGGTGAGATAGCCAGGTCATACGAGTGACTAAGGTGCCTTGGAGTAGGAGGTCGGGTCATATGAATGCTTTGGAGGAGGAGGAGGTAGCCAGACCATATGCGTGAGTGCCTTGGAGTTTACTGGCCCCTGCATGACGTAGGTATTATTAGTGCTTGCTGGTGGGCGGATTTGTAACTAGGAATAGCACCGGCCTTGACTTCAACTGGGAGGGGCTGGGGGGGTGTCTCTGTTGATGTTCGGGGTGCTGCTTGGTGTAAACATCTCACCTGTCTTAATATGTTTACACCTGTACTCTTTAATAAACCACTTATGTATTTTTTAGTGTTGTTGTGGGTAGTAAGCTTGAGAATGTGTGTGTGTGTGTGTGTGTGTGTGTGTGTGTGTGTGTGTGTGTGTGTGTGTGTGTGTGTGTGTGTGTGTGTGTGTGTGTGTGTGTGTTATCTCGAGATGTTACTGGAAAGATAAATCGCTATAGGATCAGTGGAAGATATGGGTCGTGGTGATGGTGGACAAACAAACATATACAGTATAATGTATATATATATATCCCCGGGTAAACATTGCGGGGATTAACATCGACCCTCGTAAACTGTCATAAACATCTGGGTCGCCGGAGATTGTTGTAGGAATGTTGGTAGTTTACTTATCGGTGTGTTGTAGCCCCGAGAAATGTAAACAAACTTTGATTAGTAGAGGAAATAATATAAATACTTAACTGTGCGTTCTATTCGTCACACCAGAGGCTTGGGTATTGAAGATCCTAGCTGACCTCATGTCTGTCCTTGATCTAGTGACGTCCTGAATAGAGCTGTGACCTGAATTCGAAGTATTGATGGTTGTGTTATTAATTTTGGGGGAGAAGAGGAAGGAGAAGACGAAGAGTAGGAACAGCAGCATCGATAGGAAGAATAGGAGGAGGAGGAGGAGCAGCAGCAGCAGGATCGGTAAGAAGAAGACGAAGGAGAAGAGAAGGAGCAACAGTAAAAAGAAGACGACGAAGAAGAAGCAGAAGGCACCACCACCCGGGCCTGCTGTGGGTGCGGTAGTTGCAAGATGTTTCAAGTTATGACAAAACTCCCAAACACTTATCAAACTGTGAGCTGTGTTTGGTGTTAGCTACCGCCCCCCAGCTTGGTGGCTTGACGCAGGTACACCTTCTGATGGCTCACCTGAAGAGTAGATAACCACAGATTGTTTTCACCTGAAGAATAAGACACCTCCGCTTATTTCACCTGAAGATTAACCATCCTAATGCTAACCTAACCCTATTCACGTCGCGTTAAGATGGTTAGCTAATCTTTCGGGTGAAATGAGTTAGGGTGTCTAATCCTCAGGTGTTCCCTCAAGCAGTTCATGAACAAGGTGTCATCGTTGTGGTTCTCGAGCACAGGTAAGAGTGGGGGTATGGAGGTAAAGTTAAGTCAACATTGCCTGCAAGTATAGACGCGCATCAAGCTAGGCAGGTGTGTGTGTGCGCCCGGGTACAAGGGTGTAAGTAAGGTGTGGCAGGATGTTGCTTGAGTGTGTGGACTGTGGGTGTAAGGGGTGTGTTGTGTGTATTAATAGATGGGTGTGTGGATAAATAGGTGTGTGATGGATGTGGATATCTGTGTGTGGGTTGGAGGGGGTGTTATGGAGTGTGGGTTACTGTAGGCTGTCAGGGGGCGTGTGGGTCGCATGGTGTGAGATATGAACGGTGCAATGAGGTTAACGGAAGGAGTTTTGGAGTGTCTTCATGAGTGTTGGTGTTCAAGGTGGGTGTAGGTGTGGATAGCTTACTAGGGTGTTGGTGCTAGGGTGTGTGTGTGAACAACAATGTACACGGAGTTTAAAGGTGTTGAAAGAAGAGTGTTGTAAGTGTACCAATTATCGCCAGACACATTTAACTTGTGTTGTGGGTGTGACGAATCAGGATTTCGCCGACACATTACGTCCAGAAGCACTCAGTAACTCGGTGTGACAAGGGTGGGGAGGGGAGGGGAGATTGGGGAGGTGAATATGATGTCATAGGGAGGTAGAGAACGGATGGTGAGGGGAGAGGGAAGGGGAGACGAGAAAGGTAACCTAATTTGGAGAGAGAAACAGTGGTAGGGGTTCACCTTCACCTGCCTTATAGGGGAGGGGGTGGGGGACCGCCTTGCTTCACCTTAACGTTCGTACATCTCACTCGATGCTTCTGACAACTGTGATTTGTTTCAAGGTGGTGCTTCAAGGGTCAGTGTCAAGTGTGAGTATAGTAAGTGGTGGTAATATTAGTACGAGAAGCTGTCGAGGGTGTAGTATGACGCTTGTTGTCAGTCAGCTGAGGTGCAGTGTGAGAGGGTTGACTTGCACGTGTCGAGGTATAAGATCAGTGCAGTGCGAATTGTTAAGGTATATTAGTATGCTGGATTAGTTTGAATCGACTTGTATGGGGTGCTTCTAATGGCGAGATGAACGACCCATTATGATTGTGTTTATGTCTGGTTGATTAGTATGAGGTAAGAGTTAGTGGGTGGAAATCAACCCCCCATTGTCTTCGCCTCTGATTAGTGATGAATGAAAATTTTCTGTAATACCTTTCCCAGCTTGGAGTCTTTAAGAGGAGGAGGGGGGGGTGTCTCGTAACAGCTGGCCTATTTGTGTTGAGAGAGAATTGCGTGCGACAGTGTATCATCAAGTAGGAAGCGCGAGGTGTGTGTGTTCCGTGGAGGAGGTGCAGATATCTTGAACGCTCACTGCTCAGAAAATCAGCAACGTGACTCATACTGCAGGTAACCCAGGAGGAGGGAGGGATTATGACTGGAGGAATGTGAGGGAGGGAACGGTGGAGGGAGGGAATGACAGGAGGGAGGGAATGTGACAGGAGGGAGGGAATGTGACGGTGGAGGGAGGGAGTGTGACTGGGTGGAGGGATTGTGACAGTGGAGGTAGGAAGAATTTAATGAAGGAAAGAAAGAAAGGGAGGAAGGAAGTATAACAATGGAGGGAAGGGGAAGTGTAATAATGAAGGCAATGGAGGGAGCTTAACTGCCTAGGGAGGGAGGGAGGGAGGGTAGAGGGGAAATGTTGGTATCCCGTGACTATAAGGGGGAAAGGAGAGGAGGGTGAAGGAAGGGAGATGATTGGTGCAGTGGAAAGAAACGTACGTGTGGATTTATGTGTGTGTGGATTTCTGTGTGTGTGTGTGTGTGGTTCTGTGTGTGTGTGTGGTGGAGAAATGTTTGTTTTGAATTATCAAGAAAGGTTCAATAGAGGTGAGAAGGGGGTGTTGAGATGGGGGAACTGGTGGAGGGGTTCGCGTGTAGTGAGGGAGGTGGGTGGTCGTGTGAGGAGAGAGATGGGGGGGGGTGCCGGGTGTGTAGGTAGGTGAGGAAGAGTGAGTTTTGTTTGTTTAATCTGGAGTTCTAAGCATGAGGTTATTTTTGTGTGGAGGTGGGTAGGTAGGTAGGCTGTGAGGGAAGGAGGAAGGATGGGAAGGGGAAGGAGGACAAGAAATGGGGACATGGGGGGGAGGTGACAGTAAGGGAGAGAAAAAAATACTGTAGGAGGATGTTGGCATGAGTCACAGGTCACCACTCTCGGGACAACTAAAGGTCACACAAGGTCAGGCCACTGCTGTACGGGTATAGGGGAGACTTCAACTTGGTCTCGTTTCACAAAGGTCAAATAACTCGCTGGTGGGCTGCATATGTTTGTGCCTAGACCATGTGGGGGGTGTTGGTGGCGGCGGTGATATTAAGTGTAGACAGATGGTGAAAGTGTGTGTGCGTGTGTGTGTGTGTGTGTGTGTGTGTGCGTGTGGTGCATCAAGGGGGACAGTGCGGAGGGGCTAGGTTTGACGTGGTACGATTGAATCAGTGGCAGGGAGGGACCAATGAGGTGAGGTGTGGTGGGAAGAGAGGAGAGGGAGAGAAGAGGGAGAGGGAGACAGGGCCGTGAAGGAGAGAAGGATGCTGGGAAAACTCACCTCACCTGACCTCTTCCAGGAAAAATACTAGACGAAACACACTCACTCACTCACTCACTCACTCACACACTCACTCACTCTTCCTAGCTGTACCACCACTTACTGATAACATGTACTACTTGTTATTGAGAGTTAGTGGGTGTATGAGGACGTCCCCAGTGACCCTAAACATCCAAGGGTAATGTTCTTGTTTATGAATGTGGATTAAGTATGTGGAAACTCGAATGTGATCTTGTGAGTTGTTGTTGTTGTTGTTGTCTCCTACCGCTGAGCCTAGTGGCGTGGTGGTTGGGCTAGTGGGGGGGGGGCGAGGAGGCGTGGACGTCTAGATGTATATTAGTTTGAGAGATGGGTTGCAGAGTTGTGTGGCCGCCGGGGTATTGATCAACTGTGACCCCCCACCACCCCCCTCCCCATGGTACTCCCATTGGGTATACCAGGCTCCCCTCACCTCTCACCCCCTCCCCCTCACCCCCTCTCTATCAATCAGATGATCTTCATATCTCCGTTGGCTAATACTAGCTGTCAACGAGGTGGTGTGTTAAACAGATCACCTGAAGATTAGACGCCCCAGCTTATTTCATCTGATAATTGAAAACGATAACCTAACCTAACCTAATCTATTTTTAACTTAACCTAACCCCAGGTAACGTTAGGGTATTTAATCTTCAGGTGTGGATAAGCTAAGGTACTCGTGTGTGTGTGTCATCTGTGTACACCTGGAGAGATTAATTACAGAGGTACCACTATGTGGATTATTCCCGTTAGGTGTATTTAAGGTGTTATAAAGGTCAAAGTTCAACGTCACGAGCCTGATATTGGGCACTAATGACATGCCCTGACACCTTGCTCGAGTATAGTGATATTGTAAAGGCGAGAAAAAAAAGTACTTTTATTTTTACATATTTGCTTTACTCTTTTGTTATTGTTTTTGTTGTTCTCTCTTGGGTATTGTCGTTATTATCTTTGTTCTTATTTCTCTTTTCATCCTGGTTCTTTTGTTTATTCCATGGAGAAAGGAATAGGGGGGGGGGGAGAATTGGCTGAGGGTTGCGTCATTAGGCGATCTGTTCCTTCCATTCTTTCATTCCTTCTCTCTCTCTCTCTCTCTCTCTCTCTCGTAGTTCAGTACAAAGGCGAGCCCCCACACGACACCACTCCTGCTACTACTACTGGTCTTTCCCGTTCTCCTCTCCGTCTTCCCCTTCTTCCCTTACTTAATCTTCCTTCTCTTCTTCGTTTTCCCCCCTTTTTACCGCCTTCTTTGTCTTCAACCCCCTCCTACCTTCCCCTTACTCCACCTTCTCCTCCTCCATCTCTTCCTCCTCTTATCCTCCAACCTCGAGAAAATTACCAAACCCTCGTTAACGTGTTTATCTTTTATCAGCTGTTCTCCGTAAAATCTTCGGGCGGCGTAAAACATCATTTTCTTGTTACCATGAGTCTGTTTGTGTCAGTGGTTCCCAAAAGTTACCAAGAGGCTCCCTAGTTTATTTACGCTCTGTTGTTGTTTTTATCATTGTTATTATTATTATTAGTAGTAGTAGTAGTATTATATTATCGTTGTTGTTGGAAATCATCGGAAAGTTGAGGTATTTAATTGGGTTTTTTAAAGTAATGGCAAAATTTCCTGTGTGGTAGTGTAAATTACTCGTTTGTGTAGCCCAGAGCAGTAGTAAATGTTCCCTCCATTATAATAACAGATGCTGGTTAGGAGCAATTAACGTCCACTGTAGGTAGATTCATGTTCACTACTACACAAGGTAAATGGCTCAGGTGTGGGGGGCCGTTTGCATGTGGTTCCGGCATTGTAGTAGTTGTCTCATAATTTATTAAGGTACCTTGTTTAGTAATAGGTGATTAATTAATGCCCCAGGTTTAATAATTGTAGGTAATGTGTTGTACTTTTCATGGTTGGTAATGAAGAAAGGTGACAGCTTCAGTGTTAGGTAATTAAGAAAGGTGTCAGGAAGTAATTAACAGGTGCCAGCTTCAGTGATAGGTAGATAGATCGCCGTATAGTTCACACAGGTCATCCAGTACAGCACGTTTCCCCTCTTCCCTCTCCTCTTTCCTCCCTTTCCCTCCTCTTCCCCTTCCTTCCTCCCTTTCCCTCCTCTTCCCCCTCCTTCCTCCCTTTCCCTCCTCTTCCCCCTCCTTCCCCCCTTCCCCTCCTCTTTCCTCCCTTTCCCTCTCTTCCTCCCTCATCTCTTTCCTCCCATTCCCCCCTTCCCTTCTCTTTCCCTCTCCCTTCATCCCCCTCTCTCCCCCGCCTCCTCCTCCCCTCCCCCACCCCCTCTACCAGCTATATATCCCCATACACCAACAAAGGATAAATATTGGCCAGTGTTGGAACAAATGGCCTCCCATCATGGCAACAAATGTCGATATATATATACACATACAAATGTCATTAGAGAACGACAGATGTCATTCCTGAT